ATATATATATATATATATATAGCCTTTATGAATGTGTGTGTGTGTGCAGTTGACTTAGACCTAGAAAACTAGACATTTAAGGACATTTTTGTATAAATAAAATGAAATTTAATTTTGTACAGCTTTCATGACATTTCAATTTGCAGCAGTGATGAAATGTAAACCTTGTGGAAGAAAAAACATGGTGTAGAAAAAATTCATCGATATGGTCAATTTGATGCAGAGTCTGTGATGCAGAGTCTAATGGCAGTGGGGAGGAAGTTGTTTCAGAATCTACTGGACCTGCATCGAATGCTTCGAAGCCTCTTCCCAGAGGGCAGCAGGGAGAACAGTCCATGATGGTGGTTTGAGGGGTCATTGATAATGTTGATAATCGGAAAATGCAGCGCTGGGGGGAAATGTCTTTTATGGAGTGTATGATATTCCCAAAAACCCACCACATACTGCACAGCAGTTAGAGGTGGTAAAATATTCTGTAATTAAAAGGGTGTGTATTAAAATGGCTCCAAGCCTGCAACATGGAACAGTGGGAACTCAAGGAAACATCTACCTTGATCGCACTACACTTGCCTTGTACACAACACACCCACATTTTCTGATCAGCAAGAGGTGATGTGAGGCAGAGCAGGATTATATCTGTTCAAAGCTGAGATAAAGAGGATCTTTTAGCTAATAGTATTTAAAATCACATCAAGGTTTTCTATTGACTTATGTTTTATTTTTTATTTTTTGTTGACTTTCTTCAGTCTTCCTAAAGAGGAGTTCATCATTGCCAGTATTTTGATACGGCTATATCAGGAATGGGTGCCAACCACATGGGGAGAGGCAGGGATTCAGTGAAGACGACTGTCTTTCCATGTCAGAGGCAATATTTCTTCATATATATATATACCTATTATGTAGTTTACTTTAAAAGACTTAAAAAGGTTTATATGTCTGTGCCAGGGGCATGTGATTGACCACACAAAGAGATGATGTAGCTTTTGTTTTAACACCTTTAAAGTTGAATAGTGAAATTAACACAAATAGGTTTTTGCAAACTGGAAAATGCACGTCAAGACGCTGTCAGGCACGGAGGAATTGTCCAATGAAGAGCCTCAAAATTAGTTTCCACATATATCCTTAGATTGTCTTCAAAATATTCTATATTAATTCAAGTTATATTTTACAGTAAATAATTAAAACATTATTAAGCCTACATTATTTAATGAATATAATTAAACAAAACAGATTATTTATTTATTTATTTTGCTTTTTTTTTTTAAATGTTCCCTTAAATTAGCTTAAGCCCATCCAGGGCTCCTTGGCAAATGCCCCCACCCCACCTGAAAATTACTGCTCAACAATATGTAAAATGTATCATTGTCTAAAGCGAAGTTGGTTTATTGTCAGTATGTAAGGTCAAATCACAGCCAAAACGTTGGCCTTTACTAAATGCAACCAAGCTTCCTGTTGTGTCAGGGCTAAGGCGCTCTTTAAGGCTGCTTGCAGCTTTAAATATCACTTAGTCTAATGGCCACGATAAAAAGGTTAACAAAGCTTCAGAAAAGATTTGCATCATTCTTATTGGCCCATTATTGACTGATGAATCAATTTAGACCTTAGAATACTTTTCACAGTTCTGGTGATTAGGCAAAAGCTTGTGCAGCATGCACAATTCACAGTGCAATTCACACTTTTAGTGATTACACCCGGACCATCAAATGCGAATTGCGCTTGAAGAAAGTATTGCATGCACATATATAAAGAGTAAATGGTGGATTTTTTTTTCTTGTTTTGGAGCCACTATGGACCATCTCTGTGAATTAGCTTTCAAGTATATCATACCCTCTTTGCTGCTGCTGCTGCTTGGGTTAGTAAGAGAGGAAAAAACGGTTGTAGAAGTACTTGTGCACCGAGGGGAAAGCATATTGGACAATTAAGACAGAGGCTGTGTACTGCGCTGCTCTGTGTGGGGCTGATTGAATCAGAGAGGTGGCCACTCACAGCTCTTTGTCTCAGGACATTGCAGGTAATTGCCCATAAGTCACCGTTCCTCTATACTGGATCTTCAGTCCAATTACGCCCACACAAGCTGTCCACCTCAGCCTCATTTATTACCTCCGGTTGCTTGTTGACCTTTTTAGACATACAGCCCAACAGGCAGTTCAGCTACATAACACTGAGCAAAGGGTGTCTCACTATAAGACAGATATCAATGCTTTGGTGATTGCATGGAACAAGTTTGCTTAAGATGCTCCTTTGCCTTTTGCATGTTATATAGTGATGGCTCTATTCAATTTTTTGAAAGTAGACAAAAAATTTTCATCGACATTAACTTTTTCAGGAAGCTGGCTTTTTATTTGAGTTCTCAGATTTATCAAGAAGTATTTCATAAGCCTAATGATCATGTTTAATAAAGATTTTTCGTTATGGGATGTTAATAGTCTTCTGCAGTATAATGGTTTTTGTATCCAACCCCTGCAGATGATGAATGTAAATATTTTTGGTATTTTTTACCCACATAATTTACATGTTTGTGCAAATGGTATCATAAAATGGGTCATGTTAGGTAATGATCTGAAAGGATGAAGCACTTTGTTTAAACAGTGATTGTTTGTGTAGTTCACAACAGCTGTGCTAAGATCTGACAGGTAAACAGGATAAGCCTGGTTAACGCTGAGTGGATTCTCAACGCCATCTGCTGATAAACTTGGGGAAAAGCACCACAAATCTTTCAAAAACATTTTTGTTACAAAAAAAAAAGTATTGTAAGAAAAGAATAAAGCAGATGAGAACACAGACCCCCAACACCACTTGCTGGGTTTAAAAGCAAAACAAGTCCCAGAAACAATTTTCAACATTTTCTTATGAGTTTACCATACAGACAAACACAATAGTACAAAACTGTTACAAAAATTACAATGTGGCTTTCATTTGTATTTGATCCCATTTATCCTCATTCTGCAGATAAGGTCAGTGCAACCAACCAACTTCAACATTTCACACCTGCCACATTTGATCTGCTCATAAAGGGGCCGGGAAAGGTCTTTGCTCTCTCCTGTCCTAGTAATTTCAGTCCAGTGGCACCTGTGGCTTTGTTTACAAGTTACAGTTCACTTGCAGAAAAATGCAATGAGAAATGAACTATGTCAGAAAGAAAATCAAGGTGATGCTGCACATCATTGACAAAGCATCTTCACCATGAAACACTGCAGTTGCTACATCTTTTCTTCAGCAGAGCTAAGCATGGTGGATGGAGCTAAACATAAAGGAAGCCCGGAAGAGATTCTGTTATAGGCTGCAACGATGTCAGACATGAATAAAGGTTTACCATCCAACAGAATACACCCTTAAGTTGCACAATTGTGTGGTTTTGAACAGAGCAGAGAAGTCTGAATTGCTCAATACCTTATGAATACCAACATTCAAAAGAGAATTTGTTTCAAAGCATTTGCAGAAAGATGTATTATCTCCTTTTAAACCAAATGAACCGATATTGGCAAAGACATAATGTACAAATATAAATAGTTTTGTAGATCTGCAAAGTTAACACAGTTTTCATTTTTCATTGCCACAAGACAGGCTGAATACAAATGCACTTCTGATTTGTTTTCAGATTTTTATTTGTGGAAAAAAATGACAACATATAACTTTATATAATATCTGTAAGAAATGTAATTTGTATTATTTGTCAAAAAAAATACACAAACTAAAAGAATAAGAAAATCATTTTTATTAAATTCTTCACAGTTTCACTGTTCAACAAACCCAACACAATGCAATTCTCTGTGTTAGCATCAGGATTTCATGGTGACCGTGATCTTCCCACAGAAACCATCATTAATTACAGAGCATATTGCACCATTTCATGCCTATTATCCCTTTCTCACCATTTCTAAAGATGTTTTGATTAAATTTTTGGCTATAACATCTAAGATTTGTTAAAGCTTGTGAAACATTTAGTGAGTGGAAACAGAAACTTAAGAGAGTAACTGATTCATTTTAGAACTGGACTATAAGAAAAAATCTAAACAAAAAAAAATGCTTTGAAGTTTTTTTTCTAGTACATAACTTATGCTTCTCGATAAATCGACTCTGTAGTATTCTTTTCTTTTTTGGAGACTTAGAATGTTTTCTTTTGTCCTTTCTGACTAGTCTTGGACATTAACTTTTGTTGGTTTTAGGTGTTTACAATGTTCTTAAACTTACTCCCTCTCTCTCTTTCCTGCCAGACATCATACAGACGCCACTAGAGCATAGTTTCTGCGTCTGGTTTCATAAAGGAAGGCGAGAACTGCATGAAGGAGTCAGTTTATGGACATGATAACCCAATAGACACCAGAGAGAGAGAGGGCAAGGCAATCCATGGCCAAATATGCAAACATAATAAATCCAAAAATAACTCCTTTCTTATTCTGATCTTTTCCAGTAAATGTATTTGGGTTGTCCTGCCCCCTCTCTCAAGGTAATACTTGTTGGCAATAGGAGCACTTGGCCCAAGCATTGATAGTTGATATCAGATCCAGCTTACAGCTGCTCTCATGCTCAGCTACCAATGCCAGGGGGTCAGGCTCATGGGGCTGGTTGCGGCTGCTGTCAGGCAGCAGGAGGCATTCGTCACTGTCAAGTCTCCTTGACATCGATGGCCGCCTCACTCGTGAGGCCCTGTCACTGTCAGGAGGCAGGCAGAGCCTCGTCACAGTGTCAGAGTCCGAGTGGCTGCTCGCTTCCCGCCTCACCAAACAGCCTGCGTCAGTGTCAGCATCAGCTGGCCTTTGGAGCTGCTTCGTTCCCTGAGCCTGTTGTTCCCTGTCAGGTGAACTTTGACTTTCACCTCAGCTTTTGTGCCACTCATGGTCTGACTTGGGCTGCTAGGTCCTGCTGCAATAACTGCTGTGTTTCCACTGCATGCTGCAGCTGATGCTCTTCTGGCCTAACCACTTGTTGACTTTGTTCCAACTCAGAACCATGGCCATCACCATTATGGTTACCATGGTGATGACCGTGGTTGCGGCCAAAGGCACGATGATGGGAACTATGATGATTGCCATGGTGCCTATGGCCATGACCATGATGACCTTGACCATGATGGCGGCTGTGATCATGTTCTGGGAGGTCTCCTACAGCTGGGGGAGCATCTGCATCAGGCTGTGCAGGTGGTTTTGCTTTGCATGCCTCTAAAGTCTCAGCAGTCTGCGAAAAGAAAAAGAGGATGCAAAAAGAGTTTTACTTTTTATTTCAGGTGCTACCAACATGTTCCAATGAAGCTGTTATACATCAGTGGAATTTATACCTCATGTGAGCAGTCTCCACACATGCGATTGCAGTATGCCTCTTTGATGGCACTCTCTATGTGGCCATGTCCGATGACGGAGTAGGGAAGGGAAATGTGGTGGGTGAGACGTCCACATCTAACGTTAAAGAGACAAAAAAAAAAGCACTGACATTAGTTATTAACCGGGTATAGGGTAAATCTGCGTCACTCCACTGTCTTCTAAAATGTGCCTGAAGAGCCTGACAAACCTGTCATAGATAATGAAGTCATCCTTCTTTGCGTTGAGAGTCTGCCAAACATCTGGCTGTTGTTCAGCCTGTTTATACAGTGAGATTTTATCTGACAGCCTCTGAGCCAGCATGGGGTGGAGTCGCTGCGATTGCTCCTCCTGGTGGTTGATGACCATGTAAACCACATCCCTCATACCATGACTCTCCAATTCTTGGCGCAGGCCATCAAGTCTGTAAGTAAAGATTTTATTAGAAATTGACATATTCATGAAAAATCTAAAATGTGTAGGAAAGTTTGCCTAAAATCGTGTTCACATGTCATGTTTATCCTTTTAACTAACACCAAATGTTCATTTTTATTTTATTTGGGTTAAAAAAGGAGTTTATTTCAGATATGTTGATTTCAATTTGGGTGGAAGATTAGACCTCATTGACTTCACATCCGAGTTTAGCTCATATTAATAATTGTAAATCATATATTTCTTCTTGTACTCATTTACATTTTTATAAACAGTTGATCATTACTATGCGTAGCCGTGACATGATGAAATATGAACTGCCAAAGGGTTATTAAAAGGTTTTCTCTGTACCTTATACTGACAATTCTTATTGGATACTGAACTCATAGTATTTCAAAATCAAGGAACTGACTTTTAGGCCTTTCCCGGGACAGATCTCAATGTGCTTTGTTTCTTATCTGGTCTTGAATTGCTTTAGTTTTTGGTATATGTTGCTGTTTTAAAACATGTAAGCCTAATTCATATTATCTGGCAGGTTCTATTCAAGTGATTTCTTCACACACCACAAGTTGTGTGCAATGCTCTCAGACTTAGACAATAAAATGCTGCACATTGCTGATTACTTTGGTTCTTTGTTTATTCATAAAAAGTGGAAGCCAGAGTTTAGAACCCCCCTGAAAAAAAACAGTATTTCCGTACCTTGAGGCCTGCACCAAGCAGAATAGTCAGCTTGCTTTCAATAGGGCCACTACTGTTACTTGGCCCCTTGAGCCTTTCATTGGCTCCACCTCCCCGATCATCCAGGGTGATGGGGGCTGACAGCGTGGCCCTCCTCCCTCACTCTCTGCACCGCCTCCATGGAGCAGGCAGAGAGTGAGGAGCAAACCGAGGCGCACCCACATCCCTCTGGCGCCTCCTCCCTGCCCCAATCTGAGAAAAAAAACAGTGGGTTGGAGAGGTGAATGTAAGGAATGCAGAAGTGAAAAAACAAATTGGTCATTTTTGTCCTGGATTTGACTGGGCTATAATTATTCCATTAAAATACCAAAAAGTGATTTACTGACAGTTTAACTTTTTCCACATGATCCCAGTAAAACTAAGCAAACCAAATCTAATGGAACAATTGAAAATCTTCAGGTTTGGAACCAAAATCTCTCAAATATCAAATACATACTTCAAATACATCTCTCTATGCATGACTGGCCAAAGGTTAGAGAACATTAGTGCAAATTTTTCCAGAGTTTATCAACTGCGTATCCAGAGGATTTAGCAAAACATTGCCTTGTGAAATACTCTGACATCCTATAACAAAGTATTTTTTTATTCGTACATCATAAAGATTAATGTTAAATCCTCCCAGGAGAGATTTTTTTTTAAAGGATTTCAGAAACTTACCCTTTGTTTAAAATGTTGCTCTGTCTATGCGGAACTCAGCTTTCTCTTCAACTCCTGGAACAAAAAAGTACCTCCTCCTCCTTTGCTCCCCCCTTTTATACTTCGCTTGTTGTTTTTCTCTGTAGATGAAGGACAAAGTTCAAATATCTCTGTCTGCTGATGTCAACACTTTTCCCTGGTTAAAAAACGGACTGTCATCTCCTTAACAGGAAGCAGCTTGGAGAATATTTTGCTGTAACCAACAGTTTTGATGAAGATACGTGTGTGCAGGAAAGGCTTTTGCTTGCTTTAATGAATATCAGATCAGAAGAAATTAATAAAAAAAAAGGTTTTCCTTGTAAAGTTGTCTAATGCTTGATTTTTTCAAATGCATTGATTTGAGCTTTAGAAGTATTTTTTTCTCTTGTAGCAGTGGAAGAAGTGAAAAGGAGAAGGGGGTGTACTCTGCTGGATCATGTCCTACATGTTTTCACATATAGACAGCTGGAAGACGGTTGCGCAATATGCACAAGTTCCACTGCTTCAGCTGTGAATGGAACGAATGTCTCACTTGAAAGCACATTGGTAGTCTATAAACAAAACATGTATTTGTAGATTTATACAAAATATAAAAGGCAAGAAAAAAAAGAACACAATTACATTTTTAATTCTTGGAAGGATTTACTACTAAGACCTTCACTGGGGATTAAGTAGGGAGTAGCATTGCAATAAACTGATGCAAAGCAATAATGTCTGTCACCAACAGATAAGGTTATGTAAAGTCTAAACGGTGTCAATGTGTTGCAGGCTAACTTAATCTTTCCACCTAGAGTGACATCCAGCTAACATGGATGAGAGCACTGCTTGGAGATGAGAAAGGACAATTGTTGATATATTTACACAGAGTAATCTAGACTCAATTATACCTTAGATTTGGCTTTACGCTTAAAGTTGAACACTTAAGCCATTTGGGGTATTTTAGTCTGTCATTGTCAAACTCATCCTAGTCAAATGGGTCTAAGATGTTAAAGATTTGCGTTGAATTAATTCTCTGCAGCCTACTGAATAAAATGTCAAATATTTTCTGTAAAAAATATATGTTCAGAGGAAGAATATTGCAGTATTTCCTAACATGGACAATGCATCTGTTTGCAACAACATGTATTGTTGGCTTTTTAAACTAAAAACTCTGAACCAACTCTTGAGTATAGTGGTGGTAGGAACATGATAGGGGCATTTTTTATGAGGTGCACAAAAGAGGTGGACAAATAAAAGCATAGGGTAACTCTGAAACAGACTGACATGAAAAGCCTGAATAGGCAAAAGAGATACACATGTGAAAAACAAAATTAGCATCAGAGCGGGTGATAACTTGTTTTGCAATCGTTGCTCTTTCTGTTTTGACAAGTGTGAATGTGAATTGAATAGCTTAGAGACATGTAGTAACTTGTCCTGCAATTTAAGATGTGATTCTCTTTATAACATTGGCTTAGGCTATCATGCCATATCTTGATTAGTTAAAATGTGTTACTTATTTACAGAATTTGGCTGATACCTTTCTTCCAGAACAGATTGACCTGTATACAGTGGGGGGGGGGGGGGGGGGTAGAAGAGTACTGAACATGTCAATGTTTTCCTAAGTTAATTTTTTTTCTAGTGGGACCATTGAAACAAAAGTTCCCACCAGATGATGGCAACAGCTCAGGTGAAACACACATACAAAGCAAATGATCCACAAATGAAGTATAAATGGTACATGTTGGGTATTTGAAGAAAAGGATGTCTAAAAAAAAAGAAAAAAGCATATACAGTCAAGAAACCAGACAAAATCTTCGAGTGCTTAGAAAACATTCATGTTGTTAAGATTGAACTAAAGATAGCAGGTTAGATTTTAACTGATGACCTGCAAAAAGGTTTATAAGTACAAAGGTTTTGCGATGAGTTCTTAAATTAGTAAAGGCATGCTTATTTGATGTGACATCCAAGAGTTTTTTTCCCCCTCAAGTTAATTTGTACATTAATTTTCATGTATTTGATCAATTTTGGGGGTATTGTTTAGGATATATTGACACCTGGCGTAAGGTTTTGAATATAGAAAGATTTAAAATGAGAAACATATTGAGAGTTCAATATTTACTTTTCCTGCTGTATATTATGGTGACTTTAAGTATATATTTGAGGATTTATTTCAGAAAAAAAATTTAATAAATATAAAAAGCTTCTTTGAGATGTGTTTATGATCTTTAGCCTCTAAGTTTATTGTTTTTGACTGAATGAATAATCTAAGTATATAAGAAGCCAGTAAAACCAGAAAATGTATAAAGGAACTCTTTGTGCACCTTCCATATCAGGACCTTTGCTTCTCTGGGGTCAAATCAAGTTAATCTAGCACTCAGCTGTCCTCTATATATTTGTTAAAATGTCAGCATTATGTAAGGGTGAGTTGTAAACTGTTTACATCCCCTTCATAAAGATGTAAAACCTTTGATGTTCTAGATTTCTAAACCATTTAGATTTCAGGAACATTTTTTATGCTCAGATTTAAAGCTAAAAAGTTTTTTTTTTTTTTTCGAAGTAATTTGATGTAGAATATATAATAAAATTGAACTAAAACATAGTGTATAGTTTGAAAAGTTTCTATTATCTTTGATGCAAGCAATTGAACAGTTAAATAGACTCTGTTTTATTTTAACTTTATTTTATATGTACATTAAGTAAACTTACACAAAAAGAATTGAAACTCAGTTTTTCTTTTTTTATATATACATCTATCTAAATTATAGTAGATACACATTCACTACAAAAACTTTAAAAAATGTGTTTTTTTTTTAGAGTAAACATATTTTTAAAGATGCTATTGAAATGACATTTTGACCAGGTACTGGTTGTGACCAGAGCACCTAACCCATATATAAAATTATAACAAAACAAATAAGCTGTAAAGTTACTAAAATAAAATCTTACTTTGGAAGTGTGCACACTGTTGAAACTGTGCACACTGCAGGCTTTTATTTATTCTCTCTTTTCCCCTTGAAATACATGTTTTTTTTCATCAACTAGGTCTACTTGTGAGCTTTTATGTGGAAACAATAGAATTTAAAAAAAGGGAAAAATGCTAAAACAAACAAACAAACAAATGTAAAAATAACAAACATTTCTAAACCAGATGTGTTTTTTTCCACAACATAAATGTACTTAAGCCAAAAGCTATATTGACATTTGCTGAGAATCTTTTTTTTTTTTTTTTTGGCTGAGGATCAAATGATTCCTTTTCAGTCATTTTTGTCACTAAGCAACGTTCCGGCGTCCTTCTGTTCGCAAAGGTTTCTGGGAAATCGAGGCCTATGGGTTAGAGCGACCGCCCTTTTTGGAGCAACGAGGGTAGAACAGCGCTGTGGGGAAAATAATCGCATAACTGCTTTCTAAAACAGTGCAACGACGCTTAAGGTATGTCTAGCGATGTTTTTCAACACCTTCTTTGATCTACAGGGCTTATAATCAACAAATCTGTCTGCTAAAAGTGTTTTTTAATGCGCGGATTGATGACGTAATGTTGATGGTCAAACGCGAAATGGCGAGCGTGCTAAGAGGCCCGTTAGCGTCGGAAATAATGATTTTTATCATTAGTTTTTCATTAGTATATGGAAGCGCTTCTTGTATTTTACCTGCGTTTGGTAAGTTTAATCCTAAATTTATTAAGTGTATGAAAATATAGATTATTGTATTCTCTGGAGGACAATGTAAGATATTAAGCTAGCTGAGCTCAAGCTAGTTGAATTAACCCCATGTGTCAACATGGACAGCCAGGTGTTTTTTTTTTTAAAGCGTGCATCCAAATTGGTTTATTTACATGTTGTTGTTTTTTTGACAAATACTTATCTCATACCATTAAATCGCATACTTTTAGTTTCATAAGAGCAAAGCAAATTAACAGAAATATAGTTAAAATAAACAAGACCCTACAACAGCTGAGAAAAACTGTTATCGTCTAACTTTGATCTCTTTTGAACGTTGTACCTCCAATATAGAGTTAATCGTATACGTAAGGTTGTAATTACCTGTCTTATAGCAAAGGCCAGATTAGTTATTAGACCCTCACGCTTAAATAGCAATACACCTCTGCAAGTATAGCCATAAATGTCCTTTGCATTGAAAGCATCCAGTTAAAATTCCCTGTGCTGCTTTTTGTCAATCATTAAATATCTATGTTGACAATTTAGGAAAAAATCAGCATCTAACAGCAAAGAGAAAACAAATCCATATGGGCATCATTGTCTCAGTAATGTAATGTAATTCATGAATATACAATTTATTAATAATGTTTACTGGTAAAATCTACAAAAGGCTGATATCTAATGAAAGACTGTAAATGCATCTCATCATATGTAGGTGTGGATAAAGGATTGTGTTTAAATTATTTCGTAAAGATTGACACAGAATTTGATTATCTCTATTTTGATGACTATTATCATTTTGTTTTGCATGTGTAAAATGATTTACCTCCTAACAAGCCAGTACTGCAGCAGTTTCTTTCTGTGCGTTGCAGAAAATCAGCAAATAACATAAAATCCTGGTTAAAATCCAGAGGTGTAAATAAAACCCAGCTTCAATAATTGCTGTATATCTACTTAACAAGGTAAAATTGATGGGTATATCATAACATTTTAATTCTTTGTTGGGCTAACTGTATTAAAAGCTGACTGAATAGATGCTACAAAATACAAAGCTGTTAGGCTACTGAACAAAAAAAAAGGAATGAAATCTGTGAAAGACCTATGATTTGTATTGTAAGGAGGTGTAAAACTAAATAAGATAGGGTATATTTTTACACTTTTTTTTCATTTGTTTAAATTAAGTGAACTGTTACAATATTCTCTGAGAGACTTTGTACTGTTGGCAGCAATTTTAAGCAGGTTGCCCTTAGAGGAATTTAAATTCAACTCTATGAAGTGCAATAAATGACAAACTGCTTGCTAATTTACAATTCTTGTTGCTAGCACGTTTTCAGTCATTTTGGTAATTTTCTGCATAGCACCCTCCACTTGGTTATCATAACACGTCTTTTGGGCACAGCAGAGAAAGTGGTGCTGCTTTGTGCTGAATGAAGCAGTAAAGTGGACACTGCTTAACTTTGTGGAAGGTTTATATTTATAAATAGAATTCTGCTTCCTCGTTTACATTAAAATGTATAAATAATCCCAGACTCATGATTGTTTGCATGCCTTGCTCTGCTCTGGTATTACTTCACTTGTGAACAACAGTCAGGCTCTGGAGAATGGTGGTAAGGTTATACCACTGAAAAATATTTCTTTGAGCAGAAATGATCATTTCATTAAACAGATCAAATTATACTAGTTGACAATTAATCGTAAGTGGATTGTTTGTTTGCATCACTAGATTTATCCTCTGTTGCATTTAAATATCTGTTAAGTTATAGTTCCAAATAAGCCAATATCTGATCTCTCATGGTCACCTCTATCCTTTAGTGTCTGCTTTTCTAAACTTTATTATATAGTAGACCACCTGGTTTCAGTTTTTCTTTGATTAAAAAAAAAAACACTCTAATAGTGCTACATGTATTTGCTGCTCCTTCATCAGCTTTTCCACTCTTCTGTTTTTGCAGGTCGGGTAAATGATGGAGGCGGGAGCAGAGGTAGAAGTGAATGGAGGAAGCGAATACCCTGGGCTCTACAAAGTCATGATGGGCAAACTTAACGAACAGCGACAACTGGATCAGTTTACAGACATTACTCTTATAGTTGATGGTATGTAAAGTATAGCTGTGTGTTTTTGTTGTGTTTTTAATAAGCTTACACATGAGTATTATTGAATAAAACCAAGCATACATCCCATTCTTATATATATCTACTCATAAAAAGCAAACTAAAAGTGTAAAAATGCATCTTCCTGTTTTTATCTACACTCTAACAAATAATGTAATGGGTTTACTCAAAAAGATATGTTTACTTTTTGCATGGATCTTTTTAAGTTGTCCTAACTTCATTGTTAATTGAGTAATTGCTACTAGTCCAGCATAACAACACCAACTTAAATAGCCACATAAATACAA